TTTTTAGCTCTGCACTTACTATTACCCCTTCAGTAATTAAAGTCATTGCATTTTTCGAGTGATGCCCCCACCTCTGCCATCACAAAATCAAGCTTGTTTTGTCTGAATTTCCCTTTAAAGACTGGACGCATTTGCATCAGTACACAGGACCAGACACTCGGTAAACACAATGGTGCGTTTTATTGAAGTTGCTGTGAATGAAGCCCCACTATAGCCTCTTTAAGCTCCGTTAGTTATGGTAGTTAGTCAGACATTTTGTTGACTCCTTGGCTGCACTGTTTACTTTTCCCAGAGTGCTTAGCTGCGCTTTGATTGGCACTGATTTGTCCCTTGCGTTGATAGTTTATACTGTGGGATAGTGGTCTGGAGGTAGCCTGATTCACTCTGTGTTGAGACTAGCCCCGTAACATTTATCTACTACACCATTTGTGAGTGCCGTCTGAAAGTGAACCAAATCATGCTATCCCAAAATATTTGTATTTCACTTGAATTTATGTACTCCTAAGTGTTTCTACTTGTTTAGACCCAAATCAAACCAAACTGTCTCTCTATGATTTACATGTGGCGATCGCGAACGAACGAAATTATCATATTTGAGAGAGGTTTAAGCACGGGTTAGTTCAGGAAATTGAGCGAATTATTAAAAAAATTTTGCTATTTGTCCAGCTGGAGTTTTCAAAATTTGTCTTCTCAAATCCAGCCCAAATTTGCGTCTGTATTAAATTATTGAAAATTGCATTATCATTCGCAGTCACGCTCGGAGAGGAGATTTTACTTGCATCAAGTTCGAAACCATGAAATAGAAAATAAATCAAATATATCTGAAGTGTTCTGTAAGGTTTCCCGGTTTTTATTTACATATACAATTAAATAACATCACGACATGACAGAAAATGCTGCTTATACACAGCCATGGCTCTATATTTTCTTTATTTTTTTGTTCTGTGTAATACTTAAAGCCACAAGGTGTAACTTTTTGGTCAGCACACCCTTACATACTGTACCTTTTAATACATATTTGAATAAAGATAGCTTCAGTAATTTGCCCAAATGACCTTTGCTCAAAATTCCATTGTAATCTGACCACAACCGTTCGAGCTATTTTGTTTATTGACAAACAAACCAAAACAAAAGCGCACAATGCTAACAAAAACATGCAGTGAAATAGAAATGTTCCATGAGCAGTCATCGCTATGTTTGTATATTGTATTCAGAATCTCTTAAACAACAACCCTGCCCAGATACTTAATGCCTTATTTGACACCAGTCTCTTGCTATTTTTGTGACATGTTTTGAATTTATTATTACCATTTATATGTTTTTGCAATTTGTTATTGTATTTGTGGTGATGTGTGAGCTACTATGTCCAATAATTTCCCTTGTGGATCTATAAAGCTAGTCTAAGTTTTTTTTTAAAAAGCCATAAAATGTGCTTCTTATCTATTTTATACATCACAGGACACACCCATAAGAATACACAGACACTCACACACACGCACAGGCACACACACGCAAAAACAAAATTGGCCTTCACAGCACATACTCGGGACAGAGCATTTAAAGCTGGAGGTGAGGGCGGGGGAGGCGCTCACAAAAGTCCATTTACAGTACGGGTCAGTACATTTGAAAGGCTTTACCACTGCAGCCAAATTCTTTGTCTCCCTCATTCACGGCGAGTTATCCCGAGCAGCAGCCACACAAAGGCAATTGGCATTATATTGTGCATATTTAGACTGCTGTCCATTAAACTCCTCTATTCCGTCTCTATTATAAGGCAATTCCCACAGAGCAAAGGCTAAAACCAACCACAGAGCTGCACTAAAGTCTTCAATGGCGATTAGCTCCGTTTTTGTCGTTTTTTCTTTTGTTTTGTCTCTACCAGGACACAATAAACTTGAACAGCCTGGATAAGGGCCTCTCAAAACAGATCTCCCCTGATCCCAACCTATTGTTTTTCCTTTTACCCGCAAATCCAAGCTTCCGCCGCCATCCCATCTCATTCACGGGTGTAATACGAGAATATGTGGAGCAAATGAGAGTCGGCGGAGGCTCAGACCAGTTCATCTTGTGTGCTTAATTGTATGGCCCCAGTCCAAGTAGGGCATTTCCAAAGGGTGACTCCCAGGTCATTGAAAATACTTGCACGGTGAAATGATAACGCTGGTTGCTTATAAGCTCAATTGACGAGGTTTAGGATTTCAACAACCAAAGCTGGGTAGATTTGACTCTAATCTAATCTTCTGAGGTGTGACGAAATTAGCCTAACATCATGCTTACTTTAGAAGCTGTGATAGTCGAAAACTGTATTGATGTGCAACCCAAGAGCTCATTCAGTGTTTCTCAACTCAGCATAAATATTTGCTTGACAACCTACTGAATTCCTAGGAAAACTGAAGCAGATAAGCAGTTTGTAGACACGTCACGAACCGTGGCACTATCTTTAAAGCGGTCAGGAGTTCAAACGGTCTTCCTTTCTTCGACTCTATTCTAGTTTGAGGAACACATGCGCGTCCTCTATCAACGGACCTGTCTTCATGTCGGAGCCGAGACATGAGACGGCGCTGAGGGATGGTTGCTATTCTGTCCCAAATGCCCCTGCCAAGAATGGACCCCCCCCCCGTCACCTGCACCGTGTACCCCCTAACCCCCCACGGAGCATAGTGTTAGCCTGTTGTCAGCTGCTCTACGATGTCCACCGACTGTTAACGCTCTGCTTAAGTAATAGGACTGAGGCCGGCTTTTACTCAGCTGTTTTTTCCCTTGTATTTGAGTTAAATACATCTTGTAGAAGCAGTTCCTGACATCAAAGCAAGCCCGGATTATACAGCCTTTTATTGTCCGATAACCAGGAAGTACGTGTTAGCATGCTAGTTGTTGTTGTTAACTTTACCATGGCTGCTAAACTAATCACAGTGAATAATTTGGATGTTAAGAATTAGGGATGTAATGATTTCCAAATCTCTCGGTACGATATTTTCACAATATACATTTCACGATACAAAATTTATTGCGATATTTTGGAGAGGCTGATATAATTGTAAATGGAATACATTTTGGTTTTAAAATACCTTGACAAGATTTGGTGCAAATCATTACTGTCATAATCTCAAGAATTCAAGTAAAAAACATATTTCTACATGTTGTTTGCACTGAAATGGATCATGGGATATGTAGTTCTCTAGTAGCTTTTCTTGGACTATATTATTATTAGCTTTTGCTTCTATAAAATAATACATTTAAGAAAAAAGGAACTTGTAATTCGATATATTGTGACACCCCACGATATTATTGTGAGACTTTTAACCATACGATATCACAATATTACGGTTATTGTTACATCCCCATTCAGAAAACATAAAGTAACAGAAGAATGATTTTGGACAACTGTTTTCTGCATGTGTAAGACAGAAAAAACAGGTTCAGACCCTATCTAACTTTTCCTGCTTGTCTCCATGGAGATGTTAATGCTATTAATGCTATTTCTTTAATGTTGCACAGTATTATTTGTCTCAAGTTATAAGTCAGATCTGTGGAGAGCCGACCCTGCTCACAATAAGAATGGATGTTTTTCAGTGTAACTATTTAGCAACAAAAAACACCTAAATGAATAAATCTAATATAGATGATTGTAATGCCATACTGTGGAGCATTCCAGGCAAAGTAAAAACAACTTGGAAACAAACAGGTAGCAGAGTTACATAATACCGCTTTAACAAACAGGTGAGTAAAAGTCTGTCTCAGTCCTATTATGTAAAGATGCACTGTGTAACTTTTCTGAGGGAGGGTCCGTGAAATGTTTTTCTCCATGGAGATGTTTCACAGTATGGTACCTTTCTATCTTCAATGGAGACCAAACCAGACAGGTCAAGTTACAGGTCAGATCTGTGGAGAGGCAACCCCACTCACAGTCACAATGCATGTTTTTCTAGGTATTTCTGAGCTACAAAACCACCTGTAACTTAATCAATGTAAAGTAGAGCTGTTTAATATCATACTGTGGAGAGAGCAATGGTATCTCCATAGAAACAAACAGGTAACCAAAAAGTTACATAGCGCACCTTTAACTACTAACCCTCAGTAGATATTGCGTTTTATTCTCATGTTTGGTTGTAGCTCTTATATCTAATTTAAGTGTGTTACCTAATATGGAAATTCCTCACAAATCAAACATTATAACCAGGAATGAAGAGAGAAGCAGGTTGTAAATAGTTCTGGCTAGTGTCTTGTGATTGTGGGTATGTTGTGAACCTTTGTTTTGGCACTGGTGCACACAGGGGGCAGGTCAAGTGGGGCAGGCTGGTGCTGCTAAGTGTTATGGAGCTGCAATGAGAGCCACATCCTCCTCTGCTATTTCTGTCAGCGTGAAATCAGGAGAAACAAACAGTCAGAACAAGAAGTCTTTGGTCTTATCTAAAACCTTGGCTGCTTTTATTCAAATTAAAGCAAATTAATTTCCTCCTGTACAGGTAGACATCTTTTCAGACGTTATAGGATTTGAAAAAAAGTAAAGGTAAAAACTATGGTAACTTGAAAAATGCCAATCTCACTGCAAAAATGAATGTCTAAGTAAGGTCAAAATACTCAAATTAAGAAGATTTAACTTGATTTCAGTAGATTTCACTTGACAAGTAATAATTAATTATTATTAAGTATTTTTTCTTTATTCAAACAACATATTTTAGTTAGTTTCTTATTTTAAGTACACAGTTATGTTTTTCGTATCTTCAGTGAACTTCAGGTCTATTTTCCTTTTTCAAGTACAAAAAGACTTGTTCCACTGATAGATTGAAATTCACTCAAATCAATATAACATATTCTTAATTCAAGTCATTTTTTATTTTTTTTTTACTTTAGATCTTTGTTATTGTGGTGCTGTTATTTTTATTTATAACCAAGCTTTAATAAATAACTTTGAGGGATTTATTGTTACAAAAGACAAAGAGAAAACCAAAAATGTATAAAGATGATATTTAAGATTTATTTTATAAATACGTCTTTCTTTATTTCAGTATACAAAATAATAGTATGTACATCCACACAAAAGTGGTTTACAAAATCCATGAGTTCATATGCTCTAAAAATATAATATATTTTGAACTGCCTGGATTCAGACATCATAGAGATAAAATGCTCTTCACCGAGTCCACAGGAGCGTGGCTATGGCCCAGAAAATACCATGTGTCCAAAAATACCAACCACAAAAATTGATGTGATTAAAAAAATAAAATTCCCTTTGTGTACTCCGTGTCCTCTGTGTCCATTGTCTTTGAGGAGACGTGTTTGGTACTTCAGAAAAGTACCACGAGGTTCCATCTGAATCCTTTTCCATGGAAAGCCACTTTCACTGTCCTCTTCTCCAGCAGAAAATCCAATAACATTTATTTTATTTAAATAGAATAAAATAGACTTTGTATGTCCTTTTGTTTGGGACTCATTGTTTGTAGAAAGGAGAAAAATAACCCCAGAGGACGGTGATCTTCACGAGTCTGACGCTGTCGCACACTCCACTGTCCCAGCGAGTAAAGCACTGGCTCAAACTCACTTTGATGAGTTTGATAGAGAAATGTGAGGCAGAGGAGTCCAGGATGGTGATGAAGGCTTTTGTTGAGTGCTGTGGTTCTTGTGCAGTACACGGTCATCTCATTTGCACACGTATCTCTCCACGATGCGCTCACACTTCTTACAGGTGACGTAGCAGCACCAGTGGTATTTACAATGGCACCGCTCCACCAGCTTCTCCGTGTACGGGTTATAACCACGGCCACAGCACATTAGGTCACAACTGTCACTGCCAACCGACGTCTTGTTGCACTGCCTGAAAAACATGAACAAAGAGAAAAAATGCAGATCATGTTTTACTTAAATACTTGTATATTTAAAATGTTTTTCCTCAGCTGTACCCAGATTTTCCCCATGTATTTTGCCCCAGTACTGTGTAAGGAACTCTTGAGTGATGTCTGAATTTAATTATAAAGTGTTTTATTGTCTGATAATCAGGAAGTGCACATTAGCATGCTAGTTGTTGTTGGCTTTAATGTCACTGCAAAACAAAACAAATATATATATATATATATATATATATATATATATATATATATATATATATATATATATATATATATCTAGTTATGTTTTTTCTGACAAGCACTGAGATCCAGAAGAATTGACAAAAAGACTAAAATATGAACTGACAAACTAATACAAGAATCACATTACAGAATATGTTTTTACAGAATAAAACAAACAGTTTTATGCACAATAAGACATGATTTTTTATTGTTTGTGAAAGAAACGTAAAAAATTGCAGACTTTGTGGTTTGATAATAGCGTCCATTCAAATTTAGATTTTGATTCAATTGTGATTCATTTTAGAGCCCTGTAGTCAAAACCAAAATAAAACAGTGCATATTCTCCTCTGCACAGTCTTTCTCAGCAGTGGCAGCTGTGAAATGTATTCTATATTCAGTCCACCCAGAGCAATTAGTTTTATAGCGTCATTCTAAAACATTTAGTCTAGCTGTTTGTCCCCTCTCACATCCCCTGAAGAGCCCACAATGGTCTTAATAGTGGCTGACCTGTTGGCCTCACTCTTTTGTGTTGTCCTTTTTCCAAACATTTTCTCTGTCTGTCGTGAGCTGTGGATGTGGGAGCCTGAAGCCGCTCTGAATGAGGGGAATGGCCCTGTTGTAAATCAGGCTCAATACTGGGGCTGGCCTCTTTAGTTTGCCCTCAGCACATTATTGCATTGTTTTATGATGGTAAAGTGTTAAAGAGCTGTATGGTGAGAAGGACATAGAGCTGATGGCCGTAGAGGGAGGGGGCAGGGGGAGGGACAGGATTCATTTAGAGTGTAAGACAGGTTTATTACATCGGTGGGAGCGGGGACTTACACAAAAAGCCCACATAGTTGTGTTATGTCAGGAACAAGATTCCCTTATATTACGGCTGTAAAAGGAGCAAGGGGAAAGGCACTGCTCTGCTTTCCACATCTGCAGGATAAAGTAATTTAATACAAACGCACACTCCCCAATAAAGGCTCTCTCTACTTTATAAAGCAGAAGTCACACTTTACATATTACCACAGCTGCAAATGTCACTGTCCCAGATTCTCTGAAGTAAATGAATTAGATTTGATTTGAATGAGGAAACGACATTCACTGTGGCTATGTAGGCTAATAAAGTTACTTCAGCTACAGGGACATAGGGATAAAAGTCAGTTTCAAGTTGCAACTGTTAGCTGTTTTCTGTTGTTGTTTTTTTTTTGGTAAAATTCACTGAACACAGTAAGGTTTTACATTGGCACAGATGCACAGATCACATTAGAGCGTCTATCACAAACTGAAGTAATGGCACATCAAACTGAGTCTTGTGACCGGACAAATGCAGTGACAGTGTTATCGGCTGTACACTTGAGCCCTATGGGACAAACTGAGTGTCCGGGACACAACGCACGTCTCCATTATGTTTTATTTGTGGCCATCATAGTTAACGCTCTGTTTAATTATTTGGTAAAAAAAAAACTATATTTTAGTTCAGATTTAGGAAGTTTTGTCAGACAGGGGGGTAAAAGGATATTGTTTACCCAGAGCCAAGTGCAAGGAGGGATACCTCGCAAAGTCTTCTCGTATGCATTTTTCATGATCTGTACATTCGACCCAGAATTTGGTGGTACCCCTTTGTTTCTATTTACTAATTTGTGCGATCATGAGTCAAACGGAGACAAACAGACTCACTGCACGTTCCCTCTTAAACACGTGGCACAGTCTAAACTAGGGCTGTGTTTAAAATGTAAGAACAGCTTTATCTGTGGGGACCATTAACCATTTCCCCATCTGCCCTGCTCCAATCAATATGAATGCCCAAGTGCACTTTAGACTAAGTATAGCTCCATTAGTCAGTGTTTTCAGATAGTGGGACAAGGACTTGAGTATGTGGCCTTTTCAGTGACACATGCTCAGACAGCTCACAGACACTGTCCTCTCACGGGTCAGAGCTTTTAGGCCGAGTGCCAAAACCAACGCTGCCACCTGGAAGGCCCCTTATTACAGTCAACATCCTCAATGAGCTGACATTAGGAACAAGCAATATATGACATTTTCTTTTTTTGCTTTACCTGAGCAAGACGCTGTATTCCCCCCTTTCAGCCATTTATCTCATCAAGATTCAAACAATATTTTATCAATGCATCAGGAATGTGCTAATACAATCATAAGTGTGGACATTTTAAGACCAAAGTAACGAGGCTCACTGCAGCAGTTACTGAGAGGAGTTTTCAATTTCTCAATGTAAAGTCAATTGCAACCAAAGTCAGTGGAGTCAGGAGGGCCCCCATGCTCACTTCAAACATTCTATGGTCTATGGAATTTACCTTTTGGATATTTCATGACAAAGTACCATGTTTTAAAACTGTCTCTTGCCCCTCATCTGGGAGTATAACATCACCACATGTTGAAAAGTAAAACCATCAATATGTTTTAAAGACTCTTACCTGTCCTGGGTGCCCACGGATCCTTGCTTGTCATTCTTGGTGCAGAAGTCTGGAGAGCTCTGCAGATACACCAGCTCATTCTCTCTCACCGGCCGGATGTCGATATCTTTTGGCACCAGCTGCTTGCGTGTGCCAACTGGTCTGGGCACGACTTTAGTGGCTGACAGGTACTTAGTCTTCAGGTCCATGGCGATCTCCCTTAGGTCCTGCAGGCCTCTCCAGCAGGTTCTTATGGAGCAGGAGCCAGAAACGCCGTGACACTTACATTTCATCACCAAAGCATCTCTCAAAGCCTGGAAAATGAATAGATAATGATTAGGTTTAGGTTGAATGTTTTGTAATATCGCAGTATTGCATTTGTATTTAGAGTTCAAATGACGAGAAACATTATAAGGTTCTATCATTAAAGGTGAACTGTGTAATTTTTGGTTGCGAGCCATCACCTACTTGTTTCTAAGGACATTTCATTACTCTGTCTGGAATGTTCCATAGTGTGACATTAACCAGCTCTACCTTACATTTATTCAATTACAGATAGTTTTGTAGCTCAAAAATATCTAGAAAAACAGCCAGAGTTGGGTTGCCTCTCCACAGATTTGACCTGTAACTTGGTCTGGTTTGGTCTCCACTGAAATATCATGATATCGTATCGTCAGAGTTCTCACAATAATATCATGGACCATCACAATATATTGAATTACAAGTCTCTTTGCATAAATTAAAGAGTGCAGCAATAGCTAAAAAAAAAAGACAGAGGGAACTACATAGACCATGATCCTTTGCTCCATTTCAGTGTAGACTACAAGAAAAAATAACAGTTCTAAGCACTTTTAAGTCTTAGTTCTTTGGATTAAGTCTTGTCAAGGTATTTTAAGAGGAAAAAGTAGCATATTAGTCTCCACAAAATATCGCAATAAATATCATACAGTGAGATGTATATTGTGAAAATATAGTACCGAGAGATTTGGATATTATTACATCCTTAATTGTGAGCCTCCCCACCATATCATGACCTTTCCCACGATATCTCAATAAATATCGTACCATGAGGTTCATACTGTGATTATATCATATCGTGACACTTGGATATCGTTACACCCCTACTGTGAAACATTCCAGACAAAGCAATAACATCTGGAGAAAACCATTTGACGGACCCTCCACTAAAAAAGTTACACAATGCACCTTTAAAATCTTTGTCAAAATTGCTTTGTTCACATATTATGTTCTTGTTCTGGAATAACTTCTGCACACTTTTATCAAGATTGTGTAGGGTTTGGTAATTTTTGTTTCAAGTTTACATGAGAAAACCTCATTTCCCGATTCTATTGTGTTGGTCAGGGGTCAGAGCTTAAAACCTCCGCCAAAACCTCAGAGCTGCCCATAATGCAGAAAGAACCTTGTAATTCTAAGGAGATGAATTGTTCCTCTGCCTATTCATGGTTTCAGAATGATGAAAAATTTGTCCTGTTGCCATAGCAATTAACAATGCAAACCAAAACAGTGGCAACAATAGCAGTTTACCACCACCGAGTATAGAGTGAATGAATAATGCAGTGAAAGGCACCCTATAAATCCAATGCATTGTTATGAAAGATTTATATATTTTGAATGGTACTCAAGATGGCTCCTATAAACAGTTGACTGCAAACCATAAATATTCTTCTATTTAGAACTTTTAATGTCTAACCTGCTTTTTAATCATGCCTATAATTTGTCCTATTGCCTTGTTTTTAAATATTAATAGTACTCTTTTTATGTTGTCTTTTGAGTGTTTAGAAAAGCGCTATGTAAATAAAATGTATTATTATTATTAGGGGTGTAACAAAATATCGTGATATCGTATCGTCAAAAGTCTCTCAGTAATATCGTGGGCCATCAAAATATATTGAATGACAAGCTTCTTTACTTAAATTCATTGTTATGGTGCAGCAATAGTTAAAAAACAGAGGGAACTACATCGACCATGATCCTTTGCCCCGTTTTGATGGAAACTACATGAAGAAATAGCAGTTCTAAGCAGTTTTAAATCTTTAAAGTTTTGTCGAGGCATTTTAAGAGGAAAAAGTAGCATATTCACAATTTTGTTAGCCTCAACAAAATATTGCAATAAATATCGTACCGTGAGATGTATAAAGTGAAAATATTGTACCGTGAAATTTGGATATCGTTACATCCCTAATTATTATTATTATATTTCATAATTGTTTCTATAATAAAAAACACCTTTACCTTTCTCCCCACTTCACTGTTGTGCAGATGCATGAGCTTGTTGGCGTGGGAACCAGGCTTCTTCATTTTCATGGGGGCGTCGGAAAACTTGGAGCCCATGACGAGGCCGTAGTGCAGGTTATCCGCACAGCCGCCCCATCGGTATCCAGGCTCTGGGATCTCTGCCGGGATGGGCCCACAGGAGCACAGCCTCAGATCCCCGGAGGTACAGGCCCGCGCTATAGTGTGACTTATGGTAGCAGCAGATAAGGCATAGACAAACGCAGCCTCTCTTGTTCCTGCACAAAAGAAACACAAAACATATTATTACAGTGCGCATGATGGTTTTATGGTTTTCTAATTATTGCTTGGTTTGGTGGGATAGTACCAGTTGTAAATATTTATCATAGTTTTACATCAGTTAAGTGGCAGTTTGTGGGAAAAAAATTTTAAAAGTACAAAAATACAGGGAGTTGCGCTAAGTTCTAAAAAATGTATTTTAATCCATGTTTGAGCTGCATTGTAAATGTATGTGCAATGTGCAATTTTATGCATTCTTAAGGTGGACACTTTGGGTTTTTTGCCTCTTCCTGCACCTACTTTTTCTGTTTATCTAGTATCCCCTTTTATTGTTACATGCTGTCTAAGTGCAAAATAAAAAAAAAAAAGAAGAAGAATTAGAAGAACACCTTTGTATCGCATTATAACCAGAATAAAGTAATATAAAGTTGTCATTTATTTTTATCAATCTTATCATAACTATTGTGCAATTTCGACAAGTTTTGGCCATTCATAAAATTCTGTTGCTAAGTAATAGGGATGTAACAATAACAGAAATATCGTGATATTGCATCGTCAAAGGTCTCACAATAATATTGTGGACCATCACAATATATCGAATTACAAGTCTCTCTGCTTAAATTCATAGTTATGATGCAGCAATAATTAAATGGAACTACATAGAAAATGATCTTTTGCTCCATTTCAGTGCAGACTCCATGAAGAAATAAATGTTCTAAACACTTTCAAGATTTTTTGGATTCAGGCTTGTCAAGGCATTTTAAGAGGAAAAAGTAGAATATTCACAGTTTTGTTCGCAGCCTCCACACAATATTGCAATAAATATCGTACCGTGAGATACGTATCCTCAAAATATCGTACTGAGAGATTTGGGTACATCCCTACTAAGTCAGGTCATATCTGCTTCCCATATCCAACCAGGAAGTAAAATGATACACGTCACCAAATTAAAAAAACTTGCCAAAACTAGGATCTTAAATCTTAAATGTAATCCTGTTCACTATGTTTCTGTGGAACGAGTAGCAGTCTAACCATATGGACTTCACATGAGAGAAATTACTTTTAGCTCTACTCATTGTTTACGTAATAGGCCTATCTTATGTAAAAACGGTCAGCTGTCTTTGACTCAAAAACTATCAGAACTGCTGCTGGTCACGCCATACTGTGGACTGACCTGTGATGTGATTAGAGCTGATTTTCATACACAGAAAGCACACATGTTAAAAACTAGAGCAAGACCAAATCACGTCTGACCATGGCCTGTGAGATCAAAGCCATTCCAATGCAGAGATGAGCCATTTCCTGTTCGACGTTTGGTAAATGACTCTACGCCGCTCGTTTCAAGGTCTTTTGGACAAAGAAACGTAAGTCAGACTTCAGTGTTCCGTAACAGATGTGCAGCCAGGTTGTGCAGTGGTCCCATGGTTTAAAGATAATAGTCTTGCCACAATACTAACATTTTAAACTTGATTTCCATACTAAGGAATAGACTTGATACTTCATACCAATTCCAATTTACGTAGAGTGTGATTTTTCAACAAGTAACAGTACTTTCTTTTATATTACCACGTGGCCATATATCTGTCCAGGTACCGTATTTTCCGCATTATTGGGCGCTCTGGATTATAAGGCACACTGTCATAGAATGGTCTTTTTTCTAACTTTTTTCACAAATAAACTGCACCGGACTTTAAACGAAACACAACAGTTCGATGGGTCAGTCAAACTCTGTTTGGCACGTTCACGGTGACTCTGGGCTTTGTTCAATTGTGGCGTGTAGGGAGGGTGCTGTCTAGGACCGCTGGATTGTTGGCGTGTTTGCAGTGACTCAGTTGTTCAGTTGTGGCTCAGAGTGGCACATTGCACTCGCTTTTTCGGTTCATTCCTCCGTTCCATTCCTCGTCTGCGGGGAGTGATGAGTGTGGCTGCGGGTGTGTTTCGCTGTGCAGTCGCTCTCTGCTCAGTGCATGTTTGTGTGCACTGCTGGTGGTGCGGCTTTGTAGTTTACTGAAGTCCTGCTGGGACACCCGAGTGAATTTGTGTATGGGGTGCTGTGGATTGCGGGGTGCGCAGTCATTTTTTGATGTGGTTGGAGGCTTAAGAGCGCGCCCTATGGTGCGGAAAATACGGTAAGTCTATGTGGCAAACCCTGGCAAAAAAAAAAGTTTTAGGTTAGTCTGAAAACTAAAAGAAAAAATACTAAATTGATTTAAACAGTACATTTTCAGAAGCCTGTGATTAATACGAGTGTTCATGGTCCTGTTCAGAGATTTGATTTTCAATAGCCTGATTCATCAGCCGGTTTCACTTCGTGCAGAGCATTAGGATTCGTTCGCTCGACAGTAGGTGGGTACTTTTTTTATTTAACCAATCGCTGCTATTTGGTCGTGACGTATGTAATGTGCCAAATTCTGTAGGAAGAAGGACAATAACATCTTTCCCCTTGATAAAATTCACCAAACATTCTCTTTGTTCTGGTTGTAAATCCTCGATCTCGGTAATTGTTGCCAAAACAGAATGTCTGTCTTCGTCTACATCCATCTCGACCGCTTTGTTTACTGTTGTGCTGTACCACAAAAGTGACCCAGACAGGCTCCTTGAGTTTGACGTCATGGCTTCACAGCTCTTTGCTAATTGGCCGGTGCATGGTCTACAACGTCCGGAGTTCTTGCAAACTGTCTAGTGTATTCCGATTCTTGACCTAGTCACTGGAGAGAAATTAAATTGAGCGTAGGCACTGGGTGGCACCAGCCTGGCTAACTTTTGATAACCCTTGATGGAGCATTGTGTAACTTTTCTGGTGGAGTGTCTATCAAATGCTTTTCTCCATGGAGATGTTATTGCTACGTCTAGAATGTTTCAGTATGGTATTAAACCTTTTTTTCTTCACAGAGATCCAAACCAGACCAAGTTACAGGTCAAATCTGTGAAGAGGCAACCCCACTCACTTATAAGACTACTTGTTTTTCTTGGTATGTTTGAGCTATAAAACCAATTGTAATTTAATAAAGGTGTAATAAGGTGCTCTACCTTACATTGTTTAATGTCATACTGTGGAACATTTCAGGCAGAGCAATGACATATCCGTACAAACAAGCAGGTGAAGGACCTTCCACCAGAAAAGTTACACAATGCACCCTGAAAGATAATAGTTACAATGTGCACAATGCTGTGGGAGCTAGCACTTCTGGGTGGCTGTCCTATAAGGTCTGTGAGGGCAGGCAGAATAAACAGGTGGTGTATTTTCACTGGCTAAGGTAAAGTTGACGCAATATATCACAGCTAATACGCTATAAAAATAAGTGCGTTTTGTTCGTGGACAGGACAGCTGTCACGAGAACATAAATAAAGCAGTGTTTTTGAACCGAGACTTCATCGTCACTGCCAACTATCACTGCACATTTTTAAACTCAGCTCAACTGGGTGACGCGCCTAATGACCTTGGTTTGGGGTATTTATCGAACGTCAAACACTAGATTCAAAATAGACTCTTGTGGGCAGGAGACCACAGGCGCGACATTATTTTGCCTCTTCCTGACCGTACCTCTGTGTCGGGGTGGGCCATGTGCCAGGTCCAAATTTAGTTTTTATCACGATTTATGTAAAGTTAGTATCTTTGAACTGCTACAAGAAATAATTTAACCCTTAACTGTTTACGGCAAATGGTTAAATCCAACTGTTGTTAACTCAGGGCATTGAGACTGACCAATAGGAGCTGTGGGCGGGAAAAAAGTTGAGATGTTTTGTTTGTTTTTTCCATGACAGATGCTGATTGTTTAAAATCCAGAGTTACCGATGGCTGATAATTTCCCCCAAACTTAAAATAAACTGAATATACTACAAGCTCGCCCACCACTCTGTTTTATTACAGTGTGGATAAAAGGACAGTGTAGCGTTCAAATAAGACTTCATGCACATTTTTTAGACTGGTTGGCCTAAACAAAATATCACCTTATGTTGAAGAGTTAAGGAAGATAAAATACACTAAAAAGTACAGATATAGGCCCTATAGATAGAAAGAAAAAGGCTGTATTTGAAAATAGAATAGAAATCAAGAAAAAAAACTTGTGAATCACGATATGACGATTTCACCAAAATAACATATCATCATAGGAATTTAATACATTTGTTACTTTGTTACATTTGCTTGAATAACCTTTTAAATTCAGCTTACATTAACATCAAATTATAAATCAGATGTAACATACGCTTACTTGTTACCCTTACTGAGTAGTAGTTTTCCAAATACTTTCTTATTCTTACTTGAGTAACTTCTTCGATCACTTTGTCCTTCTACTTGAGTAATATTATTCTGAAGTAACGTTACTCTTATTAAGTAAAATTTTTGATTACTCCACAAGGGCTGGGTTTTATGCAGAAGTTGCCGATACGATACATACCTCGATACATATGCAAAGATATGATACATATCTCAATACAGTGAACTTTCAATTCGATAATGATTTGATACAATAAATTTCAATAAAACATAATGGCTAAATCATGGCTGTGATACTAAAAGTCTTTGTTAAACCACTTCTTGTGCAAAGTGAATATGAAACACAAATATTTTACTCATCAAAACAGTGAAAATGTCAAATGTGTTGCATAAACAAGTTTTCTTCCAATAAACAAGCAACAAAACTGTAGCGTTGTAACAAAATAATTTAAAAAAATATACCATGATATTGATACTGTCTCATCACATTAAACAATATGATATATCGATATTTCAATATTTATGCACACCCCTATACTCCACCCACCTGTGCTAATATATATATCACAATTTCATTTTCATCACCATAGTACTTAGTCCTACCTCTGTCCAGATCCGGTCGGTACTTGGGAGCGTCTGGAGGGATCTCAATAGACGAACAATTCCACCTCATGTCTGCAAAGGTCTTCTGACAGGTCTTCTTCACTTCTCTGGCCGCTTGGATGATGGTCTGCATGATCTCCAGGTTACTGCGGCACAGCTGGGCCTGAGAGGACACCAGGCCCGGCAGCAGTTTACAGTGCTGCGTCTGGTTCACGTGTAGAGATGCTGGAGCGTGTGATATAGCCCTGCAAGAAAATCATTGGGAATACGTAAGGTTTAGTCTTAAAGTCTTAAAGTCTTTAAAAAAAACAGCTCTACCTTACATTTATTCAATTACAGGTGATTTTACTGCTCAAAAATACCTAGAAATCCATCCATTCTGACAGTGAGCGGGGTTGCCTCTCCACAGATCTGACCTGTAACTTGGTCTGGTTTGGTTTCCATGATAATAGAAAGGTTTAATACCATACGGTGGAGTGAAACATTCCAGACAAAGTAATAACATCTCCATGGAGAAAAGCATTTGACTGACCCTCCACCAGAAAAGTTACACAATGCACCTTTGAATATAAAAGCACTACTATATAATAAGGCTGTAGTCAACTATGGTATTTAAATTCTTGGTCGACTGAAGACAGGTTCTGTTGATGGATTGGTTGACTAAAAAAAGGGGACGTGGCAAAAGCTCCAAAACCATTACGTATCCCAATGTATCTGACCCACTTACGTGCAAGGGACTTTAAGCGAAAACAGCTACTTGCGCAGAAAAAAGTACTGACAATATTTTTATATAAAGACTTAAGATTAAATGTGCACTGCGCAACTTTTCTGGTGGAGGGTCCGCTACCTGCTTGTCTCCGTGGAGATGCAACTTCTTCGATCACTTTGTCCTTCTACTTGAGTAATATTATTCTGTAGTAACTTTTCTGGTGGAGGGTGTAACCTGCTTGTCTCCCTTATGATCGATAGGTTTAGTCTGTACTGTCGAACATTCTAGGCAAAGCAATAACATTTCCATGGAGACTAGCAGGTGGCGGACCCCCCACTACAAATGTTACGCAGTCATGCGTTTAATCTTTTCTTTTCCAGAGTTGGGAACTTGCAAGTTGTGACTTGGACTTGAGTCAGACTTGAGTCACTATTTTTAGGACTTGAGACTTGATTTGATAAAATGGACAAAGACTTGGGACTCGACTTGGACTTGAAGGTCAGTGACTTGAGACTTGAGCCCTGTGACTTGAGAAGACTTGATGCTTAGACTAGTTGACAAATTAAGCACTCTTAATTCTTAATTCTTTCTGTTCCGACCATAATAATTCGCACTCTTGTCAAGACATTTAAAAAGGAAAAATTTGCATTTCTACAATTCTTATATAAATACTCATATATAAATATACCATGACTTTTTTAAGTACAATTTTGTTTAAAAATTATATAAATAGCAAAAACATAAGCTATATTTGCTTTGTACTTTGGTTTAAAGACTTGAAATGACTTAAAGCAGATGACCTGGGACTTGACTTGGACTTATGGGCCAGTGACTCGAGACTCGACTTGGACTTGCCTGTCTTTGACTTGGGACATGACTCGGACTTGAGGTCAAAGACTTGAGACTTACTTGAGACTTGTCCTACCTCTGGTTAATACTAAAGAAATCTCCAGCTAACTCGCTCACTAACTGCAAAATAAAATAATAATTAAACTAGATGAAAATTTGGTTGAGTAATACACTATCGACTGATTAATCGACTAAATGACTAACGCCCTACATCCCTACTATTCTTCTACTGCACAGAAGAGTAAAATATTTATTCACAGTTCAGTCTTGTGCACAAAAGTCTGGCCACGGTAACACAAACTGAAACAGATAGTGTTTTAGACCATATGTTTTTCTATAACCACAGAGCAGAAACATCTTATCAGAGAGAAATCCCAAAGGACCGTCAGCTGTAGATTCATAAAGTAAATCGGACACCTTTTTGGCAATACACTTTCCTTAGTCCTCCATGCCAAAACAAAGAACACTCATACATGTAATGGATAGAAATAAACTCACAGTGTCTTAAAGAACCTCTACACAATATTTTCCATGCATTTCAGCAACTTTTATCTTGTCCCAGTGCAGATATGTTGTGTAAGCAGCTCTTGAGGTCAAAATATGGCCGATGTTTGCTATCTGCGTCAAATTTTAAAGCGTTTTACTGTCAGATAATCAGGATGTGCACATTAGCATGCTAGTTGTTGTTAGTTTTACATGGACAGCGAAACACTCGTGTCTCGGAAAGTGGTGAAAAACGCTCATAAACTCACAGCGGTGAATAAAAATGATACTCTGAATGCATGTGGGAAGTAAAAAATATGTTTGGGTCAGTGCTAGTTTTGTTTTTCAGGTTTTTAAGGCAGTAAAAATGAGATACAGCCCCTTTAAACTCACGCAAAAGTTCATCGAGTTTCGTTGCTCTGTTTTATAATTTTGTCACATAATTTTGATTGAGTTTACACAGGGGACAGTGTGTGTCTGTGGTCTGTTCGTGAGAAGCCCTGGCCTCTTGCTCCTCTGCCTGGTTTGCATTAAGGCCATGGGGCCACCTCTCTGTGCCCAGTGATAAGCTGTGACTCCACTGGGCTCTGTGTACTGCAGCACTCACAGGTGTTTACAGCCTCATCTGGTTCACATTGTACTGCTGTGCATTATCAACACTGTAGGAGTTTGCATTGCATTCAGCACATGGCATCCCTGCGCCCCAAGTGTGACTAACTGTGTTCACAGACACACATAGACTAGGGCTGTAACTAAAGCTTACTTTAGTATTCATCCCGTCAGACGATTATTTTGCTGGTAAATTTTGATTTTAGAATGTCGTCTGCAAAGAAGAAAATATCCAGGAATGTTTTGTTGTCACTGTAGTTTAGACCACAACAAATTTATTCTGAAAGGCATGGGATTCTTGTATTAGTTTATCAGTTCAGATTTCAGTATCCTTTCGGGTTTTAGAGTGTTTCGGTATCAGCCATCCGCGCTCCCATAGTGTCACTTAAACTGCATTCTAGGCCTGCAACTAATGCTTATTTTAGTTTTCGACTGATCCGCAGTTGCTTTTCCGATTAGTCGAATAGTCAGACAAGCATTTCTCTGGTAAATTAAATTTTTTTGACCAAATAAATGTTGAAATATGAAGTCTTCTGTATATAAATATTTTAAAATAAAGTGTATTGTTGATTAAGTCTGAAATTATTTATTCTTTTTTGACATTTTGATTTAATAATGCCACCGTTGTTGTTTTCATATGTTTTAGAGTCTGCATAGTCAACCATTGTCATGTCATATGTTGTGTGTATTTTATGTTAATGCTACTGACCCCTGCTCCGAGCCAAATTTCTCCACAAGGACACGAAATAAATGAAAACCTGAAACCTGAGCGATTTTCTAAATACGACTACGGTTGCCTTTTATAGTCGATGATAGTCACAATTAGTCTTTGCAGCTCTAAAATTCGGATGAAACTAGGAATAATTTTGGAGCTAATCCTAGACTAACCCACAACTAGAGCAGGACCAAGCCAAGACTAGACCAGGACTAAACCAGTAATAGACCAGGACTAGACCAGGACTAAACCAGATCTACATCCGTTACTAAACTGGGCTCAAACCAGGACCGAACAGGGAGTGTGAAGAACTCAGCACACCCTCACACTTGTGTTTAGCTCAGTACAATGTTGTCACAGATCTAACTACAACACCCAAATTTAAAAAGCTCAAAAACAAGTCAAGCTGAAAACCACAAGCGCTTTGGAAATATGAATAACTTTTCCGAAGTGATAAACAACACGCTCGCAATACAGAAATAACCTGAGAATATTCCGTACTGCCCAAAATGTTTGTGCAATCGATGGTTTATGTCAACAGTAAAAAGTGTATGACTAACACGTGTTTCAACAATAAAGTCTGTGCATTCTGTCCTCCATTTTGACTTACAGTCTCCGACACACTTGCAACTGCTTGGCCCAGGTGTGCATCTTATTTATATCTCACTGTTATTTTGATAAGGACTCACGGAGGACATGATAATATACGCCGAGTGCCTATTTCAGCTGTAGCAGATGTTACAGACTCTGAGATGTCCATTCATTACCGCACAATACACAACACAATCTTTCCTTGATCAACCAGAGGAATGCTGGGGGCCCTTTTCAAACCTGCCATGGACACACGGCAACACAAAACACAGAATTACTCACTCGCGCAATATCGCTTATCTGAAGTACGCTAAAAAACAACTTGTGAATGGAAAATGCCCGATGTTTTGAGAGGACAATGCTTTAGCGTCGGACAATATATCGCAATCAGATTCAAACTGCTATTTGAGTTTCCGCTAAGATTAGATCATAGAATGTCGTCTGCAAAGAACACAATATCCAGTTTTTTATAGCTATATCTTGTTGTTCCTGTTTTTCAGATCGCCACAAATATATTCTGGCATGCACGGGATTCTTGTATTAGTTTATCAGCTCAGATTTCAGTCTTCTCTTAAATAGGCCTGTGAGTTAGTGTTTAATTTTATGAACGCTGGAACAATATATATTTGGGCTCAGTATTTATCGTGTGCACAGTTTTTTGCACTTCTGGGTAATTTTGGTTATTTAAGCCATAAAAGGTTGAATTTCTATCACTCATTTAAAGCAGCTCATGGTTTTTTAACGCTATTGTAGATTTAGAATAGTTTTGTGGTTTAAATCTGCTTTTGGGTTATTGTGTCAGTTGCATAAATTTGTTTCAATATTATCGTTTATCGTCTATATTTCCTTCAGCGATATATCGTGCTTCAAATTTTGTTATTGTAACAGGCTTACTCTCAAATGTTAATGATTCTGGAGTTGTTTACAATGAGCTTTTTGAACAGAATACTTTTATAAACATATCTAGTCGCAATACGAGTCAGAAAAATGAACTACATTTTGCTTTCTAAAATTGTGCAGTGCTATATATTATAACAATAAAGTATCTCTCTTTATATATCCATAATACTTACAGCCATTTGATGCCAGAGCAGACCTGAGACAGGAAAAGGGCAGTGAAGACACCAAAACGCAGGACATGGGAGCAGCTCCGCATGGTGAGAGGGGCTTTGAGGCACGCCAAAGTTCACACTGGAGTTCACACAGGAGGCAAAAGACAAAAGATCTCTCTGGGCCCAAATTTAGAAGTCAGTCTTCATTGTATAGACACTCTGAAACAAACAAACAAACAAAAAAACATAGCAGATGCTTAGATAATGGGGAAACCTGGGTAGTGCAAGCGTCATTGAAGGATGGGTCAAATGCAAGGGGTGGATTTCTCTACACGGACAATAAAGTGTAGCTTAACCTCACACAAATATATTTTTAGTTAAGATGTAGACTATTAATTAATATACAAATAGCAAGATGGTGTAAATGATGAGAAATACAACCAAGCAAAAATGAAAAACATTGAATATGCATTGTATTTATTTTTACATGATGCTATTTTTAGTATTTTATTTTCAATACTGTGAATATTAAGTCACGTTACTCACTACTAACAACGCTGGTCCCAACTCATCAAATCAAAGATGAAAAATTGTGCTTCATAAAAATAAATGGAGGCCTTATAACTGCTTTATACAGTGACAGCTCGCCACATTTGTTACTATTACAATATGAAGACAAACAGCGGATCATTACGGGTTTATCTGATAGATAAGTAATCTCTTTGCACAGATCTTTAAGTGAGCGCAGGTAGCTGATAAAGGGGCTTCTTCTTCCCTTTTCTTTGATTGGCTGAGGCGCGCGCAAACTGTGTCAAATCACTCATGAATTATTGTAATGAGATTAGTGAAACTAAACATGCCGGTGTGCGGGAATTCTGTTTTGCACAACAATCACACGATTTGTTAATTCAGGCCTTTTGTGGTCGCTGGGGCGTTTTTATAATCCTTTACTCTAAACCAGCCTCTTGATACTTGTTGTTTGATGAAGACTTAAGTAGTTCACAAGGATTTAATTGTTCAAATTGACACTAACCCGAAGTGCCCTAAAAGCAGCTCCTGTTCCCCGTAAAGATAAGCACAGATCGCCTCTCACTGTAGTAGCAGCTTTACCGATGTCAAGCCAGAATCACACACAATGGACATTAAACTTTGCCAGGCTCTGTAGATTGATAGAGCCACAGTCTCACAAGATACTAAATTAGGCTTAAATCCTGGGGAAAAATCACAAGGGATCAACAAATAGACAAGTTTTCGTAATTTATATATGATTTACGCAGTTTAAATGTTTAAAATATGAATTGCAAAGTATTTAAATTTAATCAAAACTGTAAAAAAGCTTTCAATGCTGCTGCAAAATGACTTGTCACCGGCTGGTTTTGTAGGAGCATGCTTTGTTTTCTACTCTTTGCCTTCACATTGACCGTATCCATTGTGCGTAAAGAAACACAACACTCGCACCAAAAAGTTCGCTCTCACCTTTCCAGCGTGTCTCGTTGTGGAATAAATGCGCACAGGAACAATGCAAAGTGAGCCTGAGTATCCTTTCGGGGTGTAGTCTGTTTCGGTATCAGCCAAACACGCGAGTAAAATCCAGAATCGGGAGGTAGGTTATCTCCACACAGGTAGTACGCATGGTGCGCTTTGGGGAGGCAGAGTGGGACTGTCAGGGCAGGAGGAGCGCGGAGTGAGTGAGTCCTGGTGGGGGTGAGAGCGGGTTAAAGTAGTCCTGCGCCGCTTTGATCTCACTGCTGATGTCAGAGCCGTATTAGCATAAGAAAGACGCGGCTCCCAAAGCTCAGGAAAAGCCCTTCGTATCTCTACAGGCAACTCCCGTGAGTTAGAGCGTGTCCACAGCGCGATGCACGATGATCTTATGATGATGGTATTTTCAGCGTTTTTGTGATGCGGTTTAGATTATGAAACGAGATTAACGCATGTAATTAAAGCGCATTTTAACCACACAGACTAATATTAACAAGATATTAAGTTAAGTTAACATTTTGTATTTTAAAAAGTCTGGCAAAAATACGGAGTAAATTTTTTAACAATATAAGAATAAATATTTGACATATATAGCCTGCTTTTTCCAAATTTACAATTTGGAAACTCTTAAAAATCTAATTCAAGGTTTCCATTTTCATTGATCCTGCGTACAAAAACATATATTATCCTATTATACTAATATGTGGGCTTTACTTCAAAATAAATGACCTCCTAAAGTAAGTGGGACAAAGTGGGCATGGAAGGACAGACAGACATGCAGTTTAGGCTTAAGACTGCTGTGGTACTGTATCATTTTCAGTGTTTGTCAATTAAAACACAGCTAGAGAATTAGAAATACATTATATTACAACCGGGAAAGACAGGACCACCAAAAAGGTATGATTTTTTTTTTCAAGGATTATCTATGGCCGGGGTCTCCAACCTGTAGCCCGGGAGCTACCAGTAGCTCTCTACCCCCTTCCAAGTAGCTCACCAAGGGATTTTTGGATTCTGTGTATTGTGGATAATAAGTAAAATTTTATTAATTACCATTGTAAATATATAATTTTGATGCCTAACTTTGTGCACAGATAAATGGAAAATGGTTTATGTTTTATAGGCGTCTAACTGTTCCCTGTCTAAGGCTTGCCGTGACTCTTATATTTACTCAGTTTCTTTGCGACTGCTGAAATTGGCAGCTTTCTGACATTTTTTGTTTCGTAAAGGTAACTCACTGGAGAAAAAAGGTTGGAGACTCCGGATCTGTGGTATCCTGTTTTCTGTGTACTTTTAATACCATTCATATTGAAAAAAACTGTGACATTCTCTACATAAGGGGCCTCAGTGTGAGTACAGAACAACCAATAGATGCACATGTGGTCTCCCTTCTTCAAAAGGTTATAAAACATTGTGAAGTTTATTTTCTTGCTCTAGCCAGTGTTACAGTGTTAAATATGAACCGCTCTGAGATATGCAACAGTCCAGCTTCTTCTATGTTTGTGTGCGCGTATGTTTGTTATTGTGAAACGATTTCTGTGTCTTGAAAGCGCTACAAAAATCAAAAGTATTATTATTATTATTATTATTATTATTATGCACAGTTCTTGCCAGGGCTTGGACAAGGATAAGTGGAGATGCGTCTAGGCCTTGACCTCGTTGCTGGTTGAGCCAACATGGCCGCCCCTCTGGGATCTGTGGATCAGGTGTTGTCAAACATCTCTGGAGCAGACACTTTTACAGACCACAACAAACCGCTGGCCTCGAAACTGGATCTAGTCTTTAAAGCTGCGTTACCCAACTTTTTCTTTTTTTTTTTTGGTATTGTAAAACCAGAACTTGACAAAAATCAGACTTCTACGTGCTGCTTTCATCTAACTTGAAAACATTTTATCTTTTGCAAATGTTTAAGAAAGAGCCATGCGTGTCACTTTGAGATGAGAGCTAACCGGCTGCGCAAGGGTGGTCGGTCATACTTCACTTTTCTGTGTAAAAAAGCTGTTCTAAAGCTGCGCTATTGCCAAATAAGCACGGGAATACTAGTGAAGTGTCAAAAGGTTTGTGAGCGCTAGAGACAATGATAGTAAATAGTACTAGATAGATTTCATAGTTTGAAAACCAGGTCAGTAAAATCAAATAACTATAGAACTGGTTAGTGAAACATGTTTTTGTTTTTGTTTTTCTGGAGGCGTCCATAACCTGTTTGTCTCCATGGAGATGCTTTGGTTAAAATTGTCATGAAATTAACAGTATGGTGATCTGTCTTGCATTGTCTCTCCTCAAATCTATCCTGTAATGTGACTTGCAAGTCGCCATGGAGATTCATAAGTTTATGGCCATACTGTGGAACATTCTAGGCACATCTCCACGAAGACAAGCAGGTGACGGACCCTCCAGCAGACAAGTTACACAGTGTACAAGTCAGTCCTGTTTTATTTTTAGAGAACCTTTCATGCGCACAGACAATTCAAAGTGCTTTACACAGAATTAAAACCACAAAAACATAAGATAAAAGTTCACATATTTGGCAAAATATATATGAATTCACATCATTTACACTAAATTTTGATCATGACAATTCAAACGGTCAAGTAAATAAATATTCATGCAATGGTTTGCCATTCATTTTCCAGATGTGTCTTTAATATAGGTTTTAAAATATTACAGGTTTTATTTCAAGGTGCAGTGTGTGTGTGTAAAAAGGTCTAAAAAAAACTGAAGTGCGATATATTGCTGTAGAAAATGTAAACAATTAACGATAAGATTGAAACTAATTTATGCCGCTGATACAATAACCCAAGAGCAGATTTAATCCACAGAAACTATTATACATCTACAATAATAAACGACAGAATGAAACACTTTAATAGTTAGTTTGCAATAATGAGTCATAGAAGTTATTAATTAAAATGTCTACAGCTCAAATCTTATCATATATTGAAAAAATAATCACAAATTTTCATGTAGTAGTGCAACGAAAATGTACATGCAATAAATACGTATTCCCCAGTCGATAGTATTTATCTTGACAGACCTAGGTATGACTGTAGTAGTAGTAGTAGTAGTAGTAGTAGTAGTCGTTGTAGTAGTAGTAGTAGTAGGTTTATTTTCTCCAGACATGAACTCATTAGATTGATACAAACATTTTGCATAAAACTATGACCGAAGAGGTTTAGGCTGAAGTGAGGTAATTTATGAATGTCTAACCCTATTTACAAATGATGGAGCCAAGAACACAGCTGTCAGCAAACAACAAGCAACGGAAAGAACAAATAAATAGAATAATAAAAATGATATTAATAATCTTGAGTTTAGTTCAGATGAAGTCAACATTCTGCAGGCCAATAATATTTAATACAGATGGGAGCATCTAAAATTTCGATGGTTAAAATGCAGATTTACGGTCTAATACAGCAAATTCTAGGGCAGACATGTCAGACTCAAGCTCGGGGGCCAAATTTGGCCCGTGATATCATTATATTTGGCCCGCGGGATTATACCAAATATGTATTAGAGCTGGTCTGCTGGCTACAGATAGATGACAGAGGCTACAGAGACATTATTTATTTTTACATTTGTTATTATTATTGTTTATTTGTTATTATATATATATTTATATTTTGCTTGTTCTGGATTCAATGTTTAAGCAAAACTATTATTAAACATTTATTTTAATAAGAAAAGGTTTAATATTACATATCTCGAAAGAAGAGAAAACATGCAGATGTTGTTGAAATTCAATAAATATTTCATTTGGCCCATGACTTAGTCCCAGTTTTTAATTTTGGCCCTCTGTGAATTTGACACCCCTTTTCTAGAGTATAATCACTAATACAAATGATCAGGTTCAACATTTGTGCATATTTCATGCCAGAGTATAATGTAATCTATAATAAAACAGGCTCCTGCCTCCATCTGAGAGTATGACATCAGCACATTATAATATCTGAAAACCACAAAGTCTAATTTCTTCTTTTACATAAGACACAAAAATACTTTCTCCTTCGAACTCATCGATTCCTATCAGCGTTTGTAGCCACTGTGTCCGCTCTATTCTTCACATCCACACTCGTAGTCTCTTATGTGTGTTTCTTATTTGCAGAGAGCTGAGATCCTGGTTCTGGAGACAGCGCGTTTTACATGGCAGTCAACTGTGAGAGTGCTCCGGCCAGTGCAGTGTGGGAGTAGCTCAGATGCCACGGAGCCTCTATTCTAACATCGCGATCTTCTCTTTGGTCTGTACCCTCTGAACCGAAGCCAATACCGATGAGTGAAAGCGTCAACTTCATCACAAAGAAATCTGTCATGTCGTAACGCGGGGCAAGAGAGACCACTTTATGATAAATGACGATTATTGAAGTACGTGCAGCTTTCTCAAGATTCAGTTACATCACATTGTCTTCTCACAATGCAACACAATCCCGTTTTTATAAAGAATTATCATGAAACAGACTCAAATTCAGCTTTAATATGATTTATGCGTTACTAAAGCACACAAGCGTCTTTGTCCAGATACTACATATATCTTTGGTTTATTACCACGGTGACGGAGGCTACATTTGTGGTTTTAGCTCGAGCCAGAAGTTTTCTCATCATGTATAGTATTATCAGTAGAATAGGCTGACAATGAAATGCTTTGTATCAGGGATGTCAAGATGGTTGGGCTAGACAATAATAATCATCACAAAAATAAAAATTGTAAACATGTCAAAATTATGTCATTTAAATCAATTCTTTCTATTTTATCTATCATAGTGAATCAACTTTTATTTTTAGTCTGGCGTTTTATCATTATCATAAGCAGAAGAAAAGTTTTATACATTAAATTTTAGTCACATTAACTATAATTTTTCATTCAGAATTTTTGTATTTCATAAGATGTTATTGTTATTGTTAATTTAAAAAGTTATAATAATTGTGATGTCTCTTCTTACAGCACTGACACCAAAACACAGTAACACAAATTTGATACGATGACATCCTAGCCTACTTTGTTTAAAATGCTGAATCATAAAGACGGAAAGATTACTGCGATTTAAGTACTGAGCTGTTGTTGTTTGACTCAGAGGGGAGATAGGGACACTCAGCTTTCACACATAAACCTCACACAATACTTTTATCGTCTAGAAAATGACTCCCAGGCTTCAGTCAGGGCGCAAAACCAAATTCAAGTCCTTCAGTATTCAC